CCAAAGCGAATTCTTAAATGTACTTTCAGGAGAGGGGCTTTCCTGATGATGGCTCAGAGTGTAAAGAATCCGTCTGCAATGCAGGAGACATGTGAGATGTAGTTTCAATCTCTGGGTCAGGAAGATCCGTTGGAGGAGGAAAAGGCAATTAACTCCAGTATTCTTGCCTGGAGAATCCCATGGACAGAGGAGCCTGGTGGGCTACAGTCCATGGGGTCGAAGAAAAGTCGGATACTACTGAGTGACTAACACGTCCATGCTTCAAGACCATAACGGTCTCCTCAAGACCTCCTGTGAGGCTGCAGTGATCAGTCAGAAACCCGGGACCCCACCACAGCTGACCCAGCCTTTCTTCACCCCTCAGTGTTTGGCTGCACTAAGGTGTCCCCAGAGACTCTGGACTATCCGTGCCCTTTGACAGGACAGTATTTGTTATTCTTCCCTCACCCCCTCCCTGACCCCAACCACGTGTTTATGTTGTGGAACTATTGCTCTGCGGTAACTCAATAACGGGGACATTTTTTTAAATGGCACAAGCAGACCCACACCCTCATGGGAGATGTAGTTTTTATGGGTTCATTTAGCACTAGGAATGGTCCTAGAAGTGTAGCCTAAACCTTTGTCTTCACGTCTTTCCTAACCGGAAAACAGCTTGAAGAGCAATATGGAAATCTAGATGGTGGAAAGGAAGTGGGGACGGGCAACTTGCTCACTGAGATTGGATTCTGTGACAGTCACTCGTCTCCAAGGTCCTTAAGCACCTGCAGAGAAGCGTTTAGATTCTCAAGTCCTTTTTCTGAGACACAGGACTCAATCTCCAGTCCCTTCTCTCTCAGACCAGGGTGCCCAAATTCCCCTGCTCTCCTGGGATCCAGGTGTCCAGATGGCCAGACCTCCGAATCCTCGGGACCCAAAAGGGCCTTCCTAGCACCAATTGTATCTCCAGAATCCAAGAGTCCTTGCCCCAGCCCTGAGGACCATCCCTAGTGCTAAATGAACCCAAAAAACCCACATCTCCCAAAAGGATGTGGGTCCGCTTGTGCCACTTTAAAAAATGTCCCCGTTATTGAGTTACCGCAGAGAAATAGTTCCACAACACAAACACGTGGTTGGGGTCAGGGAGGGGGTGAAGGAAGAATAACAAATACTGTCCTGTCAAAGGGCACGAATAGTCCACAGCCTCTGGGGACGCCTTAGTGCAGCCAAACACTGAGGGTCGGCCGGGGAAGGGGCGCAAAAAGGCTGGGACCTTCCCACAGCGTGGCTGGCAATGGAGGGACAAGGAGAGACGCGGAAGCAGACTCCCATTTTCTCCCTCAAACCACATAAACTCACTCTGATCCTCCTCTCAGACTCTTTATTATCTCAAGTAAGAAAAATAAAAAAATAAATAAGATAAATAATGCAATAAATAAAGAGGAGACCCAGTAACACACAGCGGGCGTCTTCAGGAAGTGTAGCTGGGGCTTCGGCCATACGAGGGTCCCACCATGCTCAGGGGATCCGAGGAGCCCACGTCGGGAGGCTCCGGGGCCAAGATCCCTGGAGGATCCGGGGGCGCCTGGGGCAGGCCCGGCAGCGGCAGGAAGCGAGCAGGTCCCCGCGGGGCCGGGGCCCGGTTGGACGAGCGCTGGGGGGGCAGGCGGAGTGGAAGGCCCAGGGTCTCCGACTGGTAGACGTTGTATCCGTCTTCAAGAAGCAGCTCCCGGAAGCTGCAGGCTTTGGGGTCAAAGTGCAGCTGCGGGGATGAGACTCAGATCAGAGATGTGGGGATTCCGACACCCCCTTGCTCCTGCAGGACTCCCAGACCCATCCTCTCCCAGACTCAGGAGTCCAGGCCCCCCAGTCCCAGGACTGCTGGGGAGCTGGGGGAACCCCTTAATTTCTCAGCTGCATCGTTGAGGTCCCGGCAGCCCCTTCCTCCTGGACTCCAAACCACGGAGGCAGGTCCCTCCTTTACCCCTAGGTGGCGCTGCGAGGCCCACGCACTTCCCCGCCCCCCACTTCACAGAGACGAATATTCCCGCCCAGGGATCAGGGGAGGCTCTCTAAGTTCTGGCAGGGGCATCTGGCTCGCACCCAAGGTCAGGTTCACTTTACAGGCCATCGATTCCCGGAGCGACCCTTCGCCCAGCATGAGCCAGGCCTGTGGGAACCCGTGAGGTCAGTCCATGTTGCGAGTCACAAGACTTGGCCTCCCGGGTCATTGACTTGGGGCCGGTGGTCGCCCTGCCAGAGCCTCCGTTTCTTCTTGTGAACGTTGATGACCACAGCGCCCTCCTCTGGGGATCGTGGCCAGGTTTGGGGCATGCGGAGAATGTCAAACCAAGCCTGACCAACATCAAAGGTGCAACCTCGTCCCTCAGATTGTGAGGATGGGGAGAGCGAGCGAGGGTGGAGGGCAAGGACGGGGATCTTGGAAACTCACCGATCCGTACAGCTTCCCATCTGGCCCCTGACACAGAAACCTGGATGTTTTAACTCCCAAGATCTGAATGACGCCTGGTTTCAGGGCTTTCAGCTCCAAGAGACCTGAGGGGAGAAAGTGGTCAGGGACTCAGGAGGCCTTTGCTTCTCCCCCAGACCCAGGAGTCCAGGCCCCAATTCCCTACTGCTTCAGGATCAAGCCCTATCTCCCCAAACACATACTCACTTTCAGGGCTCTGGCGGGCCGCCCCCACCACTGTGCCATCGGCCCTGATCTCCAGGTGGGCCTCTGTGTCCTGGGCATCATCCGTGTAGAGGTACCGCTGGCGAACTTGGCCCCCAAACTGGAGGAGGGGGCTGGAGTCCGGAATGGGATGCGCCTGGCAGGTTCCTAGCAGAAGGACAGCCAGCACAGGGACCCGCAGTCCCAAGTGCTTGAACTTGGCCCCGTCCCAGCCCATCAGTGGCTCACGTCCTCAGGTAGGGCCTGGGGTCTGGGGTTTGAAGAGCTGAATGGTCTAGGTCCTGTTTCGGAGCCTGATTGCCCCGGAGAGCAGGTTCTCAGATGGCTGTTCCAGTAGTCTGGGTCCCCTTGCACGTGGGCTCACAGCTGACCGGACACCAGATCTCTTGGGATGGATGCAGACACTCCAGAATTTATATCCAGACAGACCCGCCCCATCACCTTCCCGACGCCTGACCCGTGATATTTGACCCACTTGGCAGATGCTAGGATTCCACGGTGTCCAGGTCAACCTGGACGGATGATGCAATCGGGGGTCCTTCCAGCTGGGGGCCTGGCCTCCACTGTGTGAGGCACCAGGGGGATAGAAATCTGATGAACTGGGACCTGGGTGAAAGCAGCTAGAGGGCCCAGACTGTTTGGCCTGAGGGAGGAGGGAGCTGGGGTTTCAGACTCCTGGGTCTGGGGAAGGAAGGGGCTGGGGACCTTGACTCTGCAGCCTGAGCAGGAAGGGAACAGGGACCCGCCTTTCTGGCTAACTGAGGAGATCATGCCCCACAACTGGAATTTCCGCATCTCACCTGAAGTTCTGGGTTTTCTGAGGTTTGCTGATCATCAGGAAAGCAGCTAGCTCCACAGGATCAAAGCGTCCTTCTCAAGCAAACAGGTGTCATGATCTGGGAGTTACAAGACAAGCTCCTGAGTAACTGCAGCCCAGGCATTCATGCCCCGAAACATCCCAGCTTCCTCCTCCTCCTGGGTCCTGATGCAATCCTGATGTTTCTTTCACCACAGACGCTACCCAGGATCAGACAGGTGCCCTCAAAATAGCCTGGGGAAGCGGGGGGGTGGGTAGGGGTGGGGTGGGATGGTGAGAGTCTTTGACTCGGAGTTGGCAAATGACTCAGGCTGCTCAGGGAGAAGTTAGACCCAAGATCCCAAGGGGAATGAGGGGGTGAGCAATTTCCTGGAACCAAAGGGTGCAAGGTCTATGGTAAAGACCACCTCCCAGGTGGCTCCGTGGTAAAGAATTGGCCGCCAATGCAGGAGATGCAGGTTCGATCCCTGGCTTGGGCAGATTCCCTGAAGGAGGAAATGGCAACCCACTCCAGTATTCTTGCCTGGGAGGTCCCAAGGACAGAGGAGCCTGGAGGGCTGCAGTCCATGGGGTCGCACACGACTCAGCAGCTGAGCAACAGCAACAAGGGTACTAGAGTCTGATCACCTGATCTGAATAAGGGGGTGACTGGAGGGCCCAGATTTCTCAGTCTGAGGAGGGGGCTGGGGGCTGGGGAGTCCTGAATCTGGAGAAATTATGATCACATCCTGGAGAATCAAGTCCAGTCCCTGGGTCTCTGATTTCTTGAATGAATAGTCAGACCACTCGGGCCACGGGTGGGATGGGTGCGGGTGGGGAGCAACAGTCGCAGGGGAAAAGGTTTCAGGTCTGCAGGAAGAGCCCAGCGTTTTTTCCTTGAAGAGGCCTGCTGCGACCTCTGAGGCAGGCAGGGAGGAGAAACTCTATTCTATTTTTGCTTTCTCCGTTCTTGACCTCGGGAGAGGCGGGACGTGCCCTTATAGAAAGTAGAAAGTCAGGTGCCGGATACTAAGATTCCCTCGAAAGGACACCCTGGGACTCTGGAATTTGCGAGTGCAGGGGGGTGGGGGAGGGATCAGCGGCCCCTGGGGGGAGTGGGGACACGTTCGGGCCGGAGGTTCTCACGCCGGGATCCTGAGAGCTGGAGGAGGCTTTGCATCCGCGCGTGGAACAGCCTGGCGACCAGGTTCTCCATCCACGCACCCACCCCCACTCCCGGGGAGAGCACGCGGCAGGGGGCCGAGGATCGCGCTCGCCGCCGGCACCAGGATGCCCGGGTCAGCACCAGGCGCCCGGGCGTGGCCGGACTGGGAGCATCCAGGAACACAGGGTCACATCCAGGATGGTGAACGCAGACACCGGAGTGGAAGAGGGAGAAGTCGACGGACCGGAGCATCCGGATCCAGCTTGGCAGTTGCAAGCTAGATCTCAAGCGTCCACGAGAAGATGCGGCTGCTAGGGAGGCCAGGTAGGCTGCCTGGGAGGCCAGGTAGGCTGCCTGGGGCTGGAGGTGGGAAGGGGGGCGGAGGTGGGTCCCCCGCGGGATGTGGTCTGCAGTTGCAGCCGGAGCGTTCCATTCAAGCCCAAGCCGACTGTGGGTCCGCCGCTCGCCAGGAGCTCAGGTGAGTGAGAAATGTGGATGCCTCGGACCCAGGAGTCGGGCCCTCAGTCCCAAGAGGCGCACCCCCAACCTCTAACCCCCTACGGCACCCGGGAGTCTCCTCCACTCCCGACCCCCCAACTCCTGCTCCTCCAGGAATCAAGGTCCTCCCCCATCCAGGCCTGGGTCTCCTGCCTCTCACCTACTTGATGGTCCCTTCCTGTCACCTCCGTGGTGGCCTCTGCCCCTCACACACAGGTACACCCAGAAAGGAGTTGGGGGCAACATTGTCCCACGTCAGTGTCTCACCCGAGACACTGAGATTCCCAGATATGGGGACAAACCACTAATTTTCACCATCTTCCATTGCTGGAAATTCCAAGCCCTTAGCTCTTGCTCACTCAGATCCAAGAGCCCTGATTCCTTTTACCCTCAAGCCCAGGAGTCCAAACTCGTTGTTTCCTGGTTCCCTCAGCCCTCTCCCCCCGATAGTCATTCTCAAGCTCTAATGTCTCCTCATCTACTCTTCTTGTCCGGCAGCCATGTGGGCTCCCAGCCACCGTCACCTCTGTCTGGTCTTCCTGCTAGCCTGTGTTTTTGCCTGCGTCTTCGTCCTCCTCATCCACCACTGCCTCTTTCACAGTGGCTTAGGCCTGTCCCTGCTGTGTCCAGACCGTAGGCGGGTGACCTCCCCCGTGGCCATCCTCTGCCTGAACCCCAACACCACCTTTTCCTGTCCCAAGCATCCTGCCTCTGTCTCAGGAACTTGGACTATTGACCCCAAAGGCCGGTTTGGGAACCAGATGGGGCAGTACGCCACGCTGCTGGCCCTGGCCCAGCTCAATGGCCGCCAGGCCTTTATCCAGCCCTCCATGCACGCCGTCCTGGCCCCCGTGTTCCGCATCACGCTGCCTGTGCTGGCGCCGGAGGTAGACAGACACGCTCCTTGGCAGGAGCTGGAGCTTCATGACTGGATGTCAGAGGAGTACACCCACTTGAAGGAGCCCTGGCTGAAGCTCACGGGCTTCCCCTGCTCCTGGACCTTCTTCCATCACCTGCGGGAGCAGATCCGCAGCGAGTTCACCCTTCACGAGCACCTGCGGCAGGAGGCCCAGCGCTCACTGAGTGGGCTCCGCCTCCCCCGCACCGGGGACCGCCCGAGCACCTTCGTGGGTGTCCACGTGCGCCGCGGGGACTACCTAGAGGTGATGCCCCTCCACTGGAAGGGTGTGGTGGGGGACCGCGCTTACCTCCAACAGGCTATGGACTGGTTCCGGGCCCGGCACGAAGCCCCTGTCTTTGTGGTCACTAGCAATGGCATGGAGTGGTGCCGGGAAAACATTGACACCTCCCGGGGGGATGTGATCTTCGCTGGAGACGGGCAGGAGGATGCTCCTGTCAAGGACTTTGCGCTGCTCACACAGTGCAACCACACCATCATGACCATTGGTACCTTTGGCTTCTGGGCCGCCTACCTGGCTGGTGGAGACACCATCTACCTGGCCAACTTCACCCTGCCTGATTCCAGCTTCCTGAAGATCTTTAAACCTGAGGCTGCCTTCCTGCCTGAGTGGGTGGGCATTAATGCGGACTTGTCTCCACTCCAAATGTAGGCTGTCTTGAGGAACAGGGAGACTTTCTGAAATAGCCTGATCCATGTAAGGCTAATGGTATGCATCTCTGGAAGTCCAGAAGATTCTAGAGAAGCTTGTGGTCCTGCAGGTAGTGGACACCCATTTCTAGAGTCATTCTAGTTGGCTAGACTTAGTAAAAAGGGGCATGGGTGTTTCTTGCCACTGCTGGAACATTCTAGAATCAATGGAAAACCTTTGCATGGTGGTGGCGATGTCTGGAAAAGTTCGTGGCAGTTCTAGAAGGCACAGTGCCCACCTGTTCTTCCCAGGCCATAACCAGAGTACTTCTAGATCACTGCCCGCAGTAACATGGAATTCACCATTCCAGTGTTGACCATCCTGGCCTTTTTTGAGAAGAGATAGTTCTCTTCTCTGGGTCAGCAGGACTGAAGGAACTCACGGGTGTTCTGCAGCAAGCACCTATCAACTCCCTTTCTGTGGCTCTGGAATGATTCTAGAGGGGTGGGGAGATGTTTTCTGGAGAGGGTCAACTCTAATGCCTGTAAAGAGCCCTGCAGGGCCCTTCCAGAGGGTATGGGATTCTAGAATTCCGGGTAACCTCAGTGAAGAAGCTAACAAAGAGACAACCAGTAGGTCAATAGCTCACCACTGCTGGAAAGGTTGATGGAAGACAAACTTATCTGTAGCTGGGACTGTGTGAGCAAAGCGGAACTTTACTTAACATTTCAGCCCCTGAAAAACCACAGATATGCTAAAGCATGTGATGGGAGGGGGGAGGGATGGTGCTGAATGCTGCAGCCTAAGGAGCAAGGCTCTGCAAAAATCTCCGGACACTGTTGTTGTTGTTTTTTAAAAAAACTCCAAAAATGTGCACACCTTAACTCCAAGTTCAGTTTGTGTCTGCCAGCTAAGGAAGTTTCCTCCTCCATAGCTGGGCTGCTGGGGGTGATGGAGTCGATTTACTGAGGTGGCTAGTGGTAAAGAACCTGCTTGCCAATGCAGAAGATGCAGGAGACTTGGGTTCCATCCCTGAGTCAGGAAGATCTCCTGGAGGAGGAAATTGCAACCCACTCCAGAATTCCATGAACAGAGGACCTTGGTGGGCTACAGTCCATGGTGTCATAAAGAGTTGGACGTGATGGAGTGACTGAGCACACACAGCATACCGCTGGCATAAGAGTGCCTTCTGGGCTTGCAGAAAACAGTGGGTATTGTGTCCCTTGCCAGCCACTCTCTGTCCCTGAATTCACAGAATCTCTAAGTCTGGCTTTGGACAAGTGAAGGATGAAAGAATCAGAAGGTATGCAGACTCCAGACTGGTCTCCAACCCAGGCGCGTGGAGTCTGGACAAGAGAATGGGATTTTTTTTTTTTTTTTTTTGGCCATGCAGGACAGCATGGGGGACCTTAGTTCCTCAATTAGGGATGGAACCTGCAACCCCTGCATTTGAAGTTCAAAGTCTTAACCACTGGACCACCAGGGAAGTCCCAGAAAATGGAATTATTGACTTAGACTTTTAGAACTTCCATGAGGCTTTTTGAAAGAAATGAAGGTAGATACCTTTATTACAGAGTTGTCAGAGAATTTGAGACCTTTTCTAGTTTTCTCAGGGAGTTTTGGGGGACCAGTCCCTACTCGACTGCTGTAGGTGGGAAAGAGGGATGTATGAATTAAAATCCATACCACCAACCCATCTCTGCAGGTTTTTTGGAGACTTGTGTGCATAAGGGTGTGTGAGTAGGAGTAAAGGTGTGGAACTTCCGGGGACTTCTCATTTCTTGGAACATGAATTCCTTCTTTCTTAGTGCCCTACTTGTGTGATTTGTGGTCTCAGAGACCCAGTTCCTTCCTCGGAGACTCTCTGCATTGGCCCCCAAACCGCTTCCCCCTGGGACCCTGGTATCCTGCCCCACAGGCTGGAGAGAGAAGGTGGGGTGGGGCGTGAACAAAGATTATAATCCTTGAACTACATTTCCCATAAGGTTATGGGGTCGGCTGCTGTAATCAGCTGGGGAGACACCCGGGACCTTCTGGGAAGTGTAGTCCTAGGGCTAGAAAGGATCTTTTCCTACGTTTTCGTGGCTCGACGACAGGGTTTCCAAAGGGCCGTGGGCATCTAACCCAAAGCCTGAGTCGGGACTCTGAGAGGGGAGGAGACTGAAGGCTTGAAGCCCTTTCCTTGGCTCTGGAAATCAGAGCCGACAGGGATCTTCCCCTTCGGTAGATGCTGCTAAAGTTCTTCTCTGAAAAGGCAGCTGTGACATCACGGAGCGATAGGTGGGCCCTCCCTTTGTCGCGATCCAATCAGACTAAGAGTTGGGATTATGGGCGGGGCCAAGCAAACTCCAGGGACTCTCTCTTGGGAATCTGGGGCCTCACGTGGGTAGCAGGGAGGAGGAGGCTGTGGGCGTTCCTAGTAAGGGGCAAACCGTGACTGTGACCCCAATCAAGAGCTTTCTCTACCACGCAACCAACCTTACCCTCACCCCCAACAAAACTCTTAATTGTAGTCGTGGGAAAAGATTAGAGTTGGAAGGACATCCCCTTCTTGGTCATCCTCTCTGAAAGCTGTCAGAACGTGGGCTCTTCAGCGAACCCTAGTGTTCGAGGGTACAACAGGAGTCAAGGTCGGGCGTGGAGTGCTTCAAGACTCCTCGGTTCTCTAATGAGAAGTGTGAGCCCTGCCAACTGGGGCCCCGTTAGTCTCGGGGAAGGGCTTCTCTCCATTTAGCGTTCACCTTCTCGGGTGGGCGTAAGAAGACCCTCCCCGGAGTTCGGCACGGACTGCGCACTCTGGTCGCAATGGGGCCGCGGGGGCTTCCCCTCCTGGTGGCGACTCTGGCCGGCTGCCTGTTTCCTGCCAGGGGTTGTGTCATTTGCGATCCAAAGGTCAGGGAGGCGCTAAACTCCTTGGAGATGGATTACCTGCCTGGCCACCTGGAGGCCAACCATCACAAAAAAGTGATGGAAAAGATAAAGCAGGCAGTGGAAGATTTCAAGGACCTGCCGATTGGCGAGGACTCCTATATGGGGGTTGTCGGTGAGGGCGGAGATCGACTCCTGGATCCTGGGAAAGGAAGGGTTCTGGGGCTAGGGTCGCTGGGAGGTGCTGAGAAAGGACTGAATGCGGAATCGCCTGGGTTCGGGAATGGAAAAGGCTGGGATGCAGATTCTGGGGTTCTCCAATGGCTGGCAAATACAGTTCCCCTACATTTTATCCTGCAATTTTATGTAATAAAACTACAACTCCCAGAAGGCAACGGGGTGGGGTAACCCTTTTACCAGACCTACCCTTGTCCACTGGCCCCATGGGTACTGTAGTTTCTAAGACTAGGTGAGCGGATGAGACAGTAATGCTTGGAATCTGGGGGTTCTCTCTCCCCCGGCCCCCCCTCCCCCCACAGATGAGGCCACACTAGAAAAGGCATCCTGGAGTTTGCTGAAGGATATGAAACGCATCACAGATAGTGATGCAAAAGGTAAATGCTCAAGCGGGCCGGAGAGGGCTTCCAGAAACTCAGGGAAGTGATTGCTGGTGACCCCTGGTCTGGTGGTCAGGTACTGGACTCTGGAGCCAGCATTCTGTTAAGTGGTCTTTACATTTTTATTGTCCTACCCTGAGAAGACCGGAAAGCTCAATGCCAGGCTCTGCAGACAGAGGCCAACTCGGGGGCCTCACATCTGGGAGGGGCAGGAGGGTGGGGGTGGGGACCGCTCTGCAGCCTGCCTGCTTCTTCCCAGGTGAGCTCTTCGTGAAGGAGATGTTATGGATGTTGCACCTGGCAAAGAATACCTTTGCCAGCTACGCTGCTCAGTTTCAAAAAGAGGGTGAGAGAAGATGGGAGTCTGGCACCACAGGCTTCTCCTTTCACAGTCCTAGAGCCCCTTTTCCCCGCCTTCTGCTTCTCTGACCCGTCAGCTCTCCCAGCCCCCTGTCCCCTCAGACCCAAGGACCCAGATACCCATGTCTTTCCTTTCTCGAATTCAAGAGCCCCAGACCTAGCCTGTTCCTTCACCCCTTCTCTCATCGCTTTTAACTTAGAAATCATATTCTCTCTCTCTCTCTTTTTTTTTTTATTGTTTCTTCCGAGGCAGCTTTTTGTCCCAACAAATGTGGTAAGTCTCGATTATGAGAAATGGTCGTCCATCCCTCAATCCCTGCCCTGTCAATACCCAGTGTCTCTTTTGGGTCTGTGTCTCATTCTCCCCGTCGAGAGGTTCCTGGGTCTCCAATATTCCTTGGACTTCTTGGGGGAAATGGTCACATAGTTTTTGCACTCTTTACTGAGCCTAGTTAGAGCCGACTTCCTACAGGGCTATGTTCCAGCCCTGACTGACCTCCTAGGAGATTCGGCTCTTGATCCCGCCCCAGCCCTTGGCCCCGCCCTCTCCTTTTAGCCCCGCCTCTCAGTGGGAGAACACAGCCTCGATCTTGCCCTTTCAGGTTTGATGTTGCAGCCTCTCATCTGGTGCAGTACCTGCCAGAAGCAGGTTCACTCCTGTCTAAAGTCTAAGAATTGCGGAGGTGAGAGAGCTGGGCCCAGCCGGAGGGGTTGGTGCCAGAGGGGCGGAGCCAGAGGAGAGACCGAGTCTGAAGAGGGCGGAGACTGGAGCCAGACCAGGACAGGCGGGGCGAGACCAAGGGGAAGAGGGTTGGGAGAGGCCCAGAATCTTGAAGGAGCACCCCACAGTAACCCCCTATTCCCAGAGCGCGAAGTCAAGGTCCATCAAATGGAAGACATGATCCTGGACTGTGAGCTCAACTGGCATAAAATCTCTCAAGGCCTGACCGATTACAGCTTTTACAGGGTGGGGCCCTCTAACTTCCGTTATCCTTGAACTCCAAGTCCATCAGGCTTGTATAAGCACCCCTAGCCCCTGTATCCACAGGCTTGCATCCACAATGCCCATAACCTATGGCCGACCAAGTCTGACTTCCTTTTATCCCCTGGGACCTCACGTCCTGAACAGTACACCCTGGACTCCCACCTCCCCACTGAAGCCCCATGATCGTCTCACCCCCGTACTCCCCTAATCACTGAATTCCCCAGGCCTCTGTGACCCCTTGAGCTTGGGTCTAGGTTTGGAAGAACAATTCTGAGACCTTGGTGTCCAAGGGGAAGGAGCCCATCCTGACCAAGACCATGGTGCGTCCAAAGGATGCAGGTACCTATCGCTGCGAGCTGGGTTCCATAAAATCCAGTCCAGCCACGATCATCTATTTTCACGTCACAGGTCAGTGCTGCGGAGTTGAGAGAAGTGGGATTCAGGCTCCTGAGTTTTTGGGGCGCCCGGTTCCAGGCGGGTGGCTTGCCTCAGGGGCGTGGCCTATGCACATAACTTCCTGTCGGGGTGTGGCTTCAGGCCACGAGGGTGTGGCTTCCTGCCCCGAGTAAGGCTGCTGGTCACCCGGCCGGGGCTCCCCTCTGGGTGTGTCCCGGCTTCAAGCAGTTGGGAGGCGTGATTATGTCCCGGAGGACCTGGGTCCTGGGGCGGCTTGCCGCGGGGAGAACTTGCCTTGGTCTTGGCAGGACCTTAGCGCTCTCCCAGGATCGCTTCTTACCTCTCCTCTGTCAGTATTGCCCAAAAGAATCCAGGAGGAGATACCGTCACCAAACACCGAAACTCAGGATGAGACGGCCCAAGGAGAGGTGGCTTTGGATCGCCCCCACTCAACCGTCGAGCCACAGACTCCGAAGCCGGAGCAAGTGCTGAAAAGACGCCTGTTCGGGGTGCTGATCTGGGGCTTAGTGGTGGTCACAGCCGGCGTTCTATCCGCGTGAGCCGCCCACTGAAGAAGGCAGGGCTTGAAGTGAGAGGCGGGGTTTCCCGCTACCCAATGCAGGCGGGGGTCTGCGAGCCGAGGAACGCTGAGAGCTGGACTGCCTTTGGGAGCCGGGCTCACCTAAGGAGCGCGAAGCTTGGATCACTGCTAGAATAAGATCAAACCTAGGGAGGCTGGGAGGGGTGGTCCTCACTCAGGGAGGACCTAACCTGTTTCCGCTCTGTGTGCTCCCATCAGGATCCTTTTCTCTCGGTCTGGCAAAGTGGTCGATTTCATAAAGTCCCGGTTCAGCACTGGCAGTCGGACTGTTTAGGACTCGGGGGTTTCAAAGGAAAAGATCAAAGAATCCAGGAGAAAAATAAATATTTATCTGGTGGTCCAAGTATCTGACTCATTCCCCTGGACTGATTCCAACTTTTGGTCTCCCCCCACCCCCAAGAGAAGTTTGGGGATGATCTTCTGTCCGAAAAAAGAGGGGCTGGGGCCCCCGGGCCCTGTGGGGCCTGGAAGGGGCCAACTGGCGGCGATTTGATTCCAGAATCAAGGAGTGGGGCAGGGCCAGCCTTCCCCAGATCTCCTCCCCCAGGCCCGGTCCCCTCACAGGACGCCCCCTCCCCGCTCTTCCTGCCGGTTTCCTCTTGCCTTTTCCTGTCCCCCACCCAGTGCTGGGAGCCGGGGCAGAGGCAAAGGCTGAACGGGAGCCGCGGGGTCAAGAGCCAACCAGGGCAAGCGGAGACAGGGCCCCCGGGTGCTGTCGGGACCCGAAGCAGGGTAAGAGCCGGGGACCCAGGAGTCCGGTCGCCTCCTCCCTTCCTCAGTCCTAGGAGTCAGTTCCCAGCCACCCTCCATCCCAGCAACCACAATCCGGGCTCCCATCCCCTCCTCCAACCAGACTCTGGAGTCT